TTGATAGTTTCAAAGTCGTTAGGAAAGTCGAAAATAATTTTTGAATTACATCGTGGTTCTCATTCATTTGTTCAACAACTATGTACATGGCATCTAGGCAGTAAGCACATATGTTACTTTTAGTTTTTTTCCAAGTTCTAAGCTTGCCGTTTGGTTCTTTACGATCAGATTTCAACCTACATATGTAATTTACATCCTAAACTTGTTTTTCACAGAGCACACTACAGGCGAGTTAATTGTATGTTTTTAATTGAAGTGACATACATAAAATTACATGTGAACAATTACGCATAAAAAGCCTATGGTTGCTTGACTAATAATTCTTAAATTGTAATTATTATTTTATGTTTTCATTTTGTGTCCTTTTTTTTTTTCTTTCTTTAATGTGGTTACAATTGTGTCGTCTGCAGTAAGAGAAATGACGAAATCAAGTGCGATACGATATGTTAAATGCCGTAGCATTATAGAAGGAGATCCCAAATTAATTCCACATGTGGGTTTGTATCTCTTGGAATTACAAAAGTTGTGTCTTATAACGTAAATGTATAATTACTTTGTGAAACATTTCAAAAATATAATTTATACTTGTTATCTTTTCTCTATCAGTTTGTCTATATCGTATGAAAATACAAAAATTAATTTTGTTGATGCACAAAATCGGTGAGGGCTTTGGTACAACAGAAAGTGTCAAGTTTGTGACCTTCGTTAGGTTGCTCTGGTCATTAGTGTGGATAAGTATGTAAATGAATAAAGACAGGAAAGCAAATAACACAAGATGTACGTGGTTCACCCAGATTGGCTACGTCCACGGAGTAGAGGAGTTCTCATTAGTTGTAAAGGGTTTACACAAATACATAGGTTCAAGCTCTCTTTTTGTGAGTTCTAGTGAATAGTTTAGTACAAATGACATTAGGGATTATTGTGGGAGAATGATCCCCTTTTATAGAAGAGAGTTTCTAGTTTTGTTGTGACATTGATACGTGTCGTGTTGTGATTGGCCTCCTAGTTGGAGGAAAAGTCTTGTGGGTCCTTGACGGTATGCTATTGACCGGTGCTTAGTAGTTTCGGGATTGGTCAAATATGGTACAAACAAATTTTATCACTATTTGAATATGAGAAATTATAATCATATAAAATTAATGCATGTAGAACACATACGAAGTGTTTTATAATAAACATGTTTTTATGCATGTACAAGTGTGAAAAGAAAAAGTCACTTAGTACTGCAGTCTAGTGGTATTTCTCTTCACTTGTAAGTGAGATGCCTTATGTTTGATTCTTGCGAAAAGCGAATTTGAACCATATTATTACTAATCCATTGTGAGGCTTAGCCCACTTCCCAACTCCCTTAGTGTAGATAATATGATTTGTTCAAATACAAACAAAAAAATGTGAATAGAAACAAAACTCTATATGCTAGCACACCATCATGTAAAAAAGCCTTTTGCACTTGTAGTAACCAAATAGCCCAGGTACTTTCTTGGGGTTGGACATGCTCCAAAGTTGGATAAAAACTTGTGTGGGGCTTGGTTTGCCACTAAATTTTGCTGAATGGCACTACAATCCAATCAAAATTTGCCACATGGTAAATCTTAAGTATAATATTTTATCATCTTTTATTATTTAAACTCTCATAATTATTTTTCCTACTAATTAAGATTGATTTAATGGTTCAACTTTTACATCTTCTACTCTCTCTCTCTCTTTTTCTTTCCAAAATTTCCCTTGTGTCTCCAAAAATTTCAGAATTAGGGGTATATGACACATCCTGACCAAAATCAAGGCGTGCTGGCCAGGTGTCGAAGCCAGCACATATCAATTTAGGGTCCTAGTGGACAATCCAGGTCGGGATGTGTCATATGCAAAACCATGTTTTACATGGATGAATGGAGGGTAACTCTGGACCGAAGCTAGCGTAAGTCCCTTTAAAAGGAGACAGGAACCGCTCCACGTATCTCATTTAGAACAAGCCTTAACAGGCACAACTGCTACTGATATGGACACCAATTATTGCTGTAGACATTACAGTGCGAATTAAGCTCCACTTCCCTCCCTCACGTTTATCTTCCACACGATAGATTCTACATATGAGCATCCCAAGTCCCAACCAAAGGACTGAACCTCACTCTGGGTCATTCCGCCTTCATAAGGATAATGGGGAAAAAAAAATTAAGCCATTAAATATTTTCTCAGCAAAGGATCTCTAGAAAACGTATCAACAAACTTATTTGAGTACATATGCAAGTGGCGTGCTGGGCAATTAAATGTTGCTCAAAAATGAAAAAAAAATTTACAAGGTGAAATATGTGTTGGATATTGCTTTTTTTTTGTTTTTTTTTTTTTTTTTTTAACATTTTATGATAGTTGGAGAAGGTGGCTTGGTTGTTTTTTCCCCCGAATTCTTATCAAGGAAGAGAAAGACAGAGAACAGGGACGAAGACGGTAGAGAAAATTTAGAAGAAAACGAAAGAGAGGAGAAGAGTTAAAAAAGAATTATAGATTAATCTCTTGATTAATAATCAGTAAGGAAAATCATTATGACAGTACTATAAAATAATAAAATATTATAATTAACATTTATCATGTAACGAGTTTTGATTACATCATAACATCGTTCAACAAAATCCAATAATAAGCAAAGTTCTATAAAAAAAATTTCTACAAAGGTCGATTGACATGTGGGCGTGACAACTGAAACTCCAAATCTTGGTCAGCGCAATTTTGGTAATGCTGACATGGCCCCACTGACAGCTCCTGAGGACTTCCTCTATTTCAGGGTGAGAGAGAGAGAGAGAGGAAGAGGAGAGAGAGAAGGGATTAACATTTTATTTGTCTGCTCTGCAATTTGGCTTGGGTCGGAAGGTGCCCAGGAAGTGCAAAAGGAAAAAAAGTTGGGAAATTTGGAGGCCTCGAAACTTAAAAAGTAAAGCGGAGGGAAATGATCAGAAAGACTTTTCAAGTGGAAATCGCACCCTTTTCATAAAAGAATAAAAAGTCGTAATCAAACACTTGTCACAAAAACAAAACAAACAGTGGTAATCAAAGTATCAAAAACTTTTCAAAACAAAACGAATAATGGTAATCAAAGCATCAAACACTTTTCACAAAAAACAAATGGTCATCGCAGCTATTACTTTAGTCTAAAGTAACGAGAGAAATTGCACCTATTTAAGTAGTATAGGACCAGCCTTTTCTTCGTCCATCTACCGATCTCTCCCCACACCTGTCTCCCCAGAAGTTCTAAAGAACTCAAATTAGACAATCGTTATTTGCATTAACATAAGAAGTTATGGAAGTCGAAACATCGGCTAATTCTCCACAAATCTCAGCTGGGTTAGTACATTTTATTTTGCTTTCGTTTTCTCTACTTTCTAATTATTTGGTTTTACTACTCCTATAAAGTACGTATAAGGTGATTAGCTTGGGAAATTCATCTACTTACTCATTTAATTTTCTTTTCAACAGCACGAGGGAGGATAGTGGTCCCCACAAATGTATTTTCTTTCTCCTCACCATGCTAGGCTTGCTGGTCCAAGTTAAATGTGCAGCGTTGCAAGTGTCTTTATTTGATACAGACTACGTCATTGTTTTGATGTTAATTGTCGATTTATTTGCTTACGCCGGGACATTGGCGATTGTCAAGAAATTGCAAGCTTCACACAATTCAGATCTCTATGGATTGATGAACAGAATTAGCCTCTTGTGTGGGACGTTTGCCTTGATTCTACTAACGTTCATCCTTGTTCCAGATTTTGGGTGGTTTGCTCTCGTATGCTGGGCCGTATGCTTTGTGACAACTGTGGTTAAGTCCTACCCAACCTTGAAAAGACTTTGTACAAGTACAACTTATATACTATGTTATGTCATTCGCAAACTGAAGGAGCTGAACATGAGATTGAATGGCACGGAAGAATCTCAATCTCAAAACCAAATTGGGATAGTTTAATTAATGGGTATATTTCAGTTTGTCCCTTCAAGTTTGTGTTTAATTGTGACTCTACACAAAGTCTTAGAACTGTACAACCTCGAACCAAAAATTAAGATTTCAATGTAATATCATAGATTCGTCAATTTTTCTGCCAGTGTCTCTATTATATGGCTACGTGGCATCATGGGGCCCACGCTATCACCTACATGCTACCCAAATTAAAAAATCAAAAGAAAATTTTGCTTTTGGAAATTCATTCAAATTTTTTTTTATATAAAAAGTACGATATTCATTGACATGTTACTACAAAATGAATGTATAATTTTTAATTTGGAATGAATATATAATTAGTTACATCATAAAGCATATGAAGTTACCATTTTTATTAACAATTCATGAAGTTAGGAACTTATTCTCAGTAATGCCAATTGCTTTAGAAATGCTCAATACACATAGATTGTATATGTCAAATTATATTGCTGTCACCCTAAAAAAATTAAATTAATTTATTCGACAAAAAAAAATTAAATAAAATTGCTACATTTAACATAATATATAAATAAATTATGAATGAAAACAGGGGTGCAGTCAAACTAAGATTTTAAAGGATTTTAAAAGTGATAGATTTGATAGAATTTAAGAGGATTAAAGACTCCTACAAAATTCATATGAATTTTAAAGAATTTGAATGAATTGTGGTGGAAGGATTTGAAATCCTAGGGGTGGGGTTGGATTCTTTTTACTCTTAGTTATATATACTTTTTCCTATCAAATTTCACAAAATCCACAACTTATTGAAATCTTCCAAAATCTTAATTTTTTTAATAAACTTAGATTTGGATGAATTTTAAATATTTTAAAATCTTTTAATTGACTACATCTAAATTTGAATAGATTCTAAAATTCTTTAATTAACAACACTAAAAATCTTAAAATCCTCTCAAATCAGAGTTTCAGTGCATCCCCAGAGAAGACCGAAAGTTCAAACAAACCGATCTGCTTAGTTTAGAGAGAGATAGAGAGAGAGAGAGAGGTATCAAAATGCTTGCTCTCTCAGCGATCGCTTACAGTCATGAATCGTATTAAATCCGGGTTCGGATCATTGCCCTCCAAAACCCAGATTAGATTTCTCTGCACATCAATTCTCGACGACCCACGCCCTCAATCTCCATTTCTGTCAGAAAACCTCGCTTTTTTCTTGGACAATTGTTCAGACGCTTTTTCACTGAGAAAACTCCACGCTCGCATTTTCGCTCACGGCCTCGGAAACAATATATTTCTCGGCTGCAAGCTCCTGAATTGCTACGCAAAGTTCGACCTTTTATCAGATTCTAGATGGGTTTTCGACAGAATCGTCAACTGGAATCTGTCTCTCTGGAATGCAATCCTTGTTGGGTATTTCAGAGCCCGTCAATTCGACGAAGTTCTTCGGCGGTACGTAGATTTGAGGCGGTGGAATATCGGGTTGGATAGCGGCACCATTACGTTTGGTTTGAAAAGTTGTATCGAGTTGGGGGATTTGGGATTTGGACGAGGGATTCATGGGGATGCTTTGAAGTCTGGGTTTAGTTCAAATGGATTTGTGGGTTCGTCGCCTAACGGATTGTACTCTAGATGTGGGTTTGTTGAAGATGCAGCTGAAGTGTTCGATGAAATTACTGAGAGAGAATATTGTTGTCTACACTTCGATTATTACTGGTTATGCTCAGAGTGGCGACCAACGTGCTTGTGAGGCTTTTGGGTTTGCTTGCCGTATGCAGAGACAAGGATTGCATCCAAATCGGGTCACTCTTGCTAGCTTACTTCAGGCAGCGTCGCAGTTAGAGGCACTGGAAGAAGGACGTTCGGTCCATGGCTATGCTATTAGAAGAGGAATTGGTGGTTCGGATGAAGTGTTCGAAACAAGTCTCGTGGACATGTATAACAAATGTGGATCCCCTAGAAGGGTAGCCTGCATTTTTGGCGAAATGGATAGAAAGACTATTGGTTCTTGGAATGTGATGATTGCTGGTTATTTTAAAATAGAGCAACCAGGCTTTCCGCCTTTTCTGTCAAGTGATGGAAGAAAATTTTGTCCCGGATTTGATAACTTTGTCCAATGGGATTCTGTCTTGTGCTTGCTTGAATTATTTGCATCCAGGAAAGAGTATCCACGGTTACATTATTCGAGCTGGTATTTAGCTTGATCTATTGGCAGCCACCGCTCTGGTCGATCTATAATCCAAATCAAACAAGTTGATCCAGTCCGGGGAACTATGTGATAGAATGGAGAAAAAGGATGCTATATCTTATGATGTGATGATGACGGGCTATCTCCACAATAATTATGCCAGCGAAGCTGTGGACACCTTTGTTGAAATGGTTGGAGAAGGTACTAAACCAAACCTAGGTTCCTTGTTGAGTGTACTTTCTGCTACTTCTGAGCTGAAAGACATAAGAAAAGGCAAGTGCATCCACGGACATGCATTAAGACACGGGTTTGACTTGAATACTGAAGTTACGAATCAAATTATCTACACGAACGCAAAATGTGGTTGTTTAGGCCATGCGAGGCAAATCTTTAACATGGTGAGATATCGGGATTTGGTCTCATGGACTTCAGTGATGATGGGTTATGTAACTTATGTTTACCGTGGCCATGCTGATGAAACCATAACGTTGTTTCGATCAATGCCAATGGAGCTAGCACAACATGATTCAGTTACTCTGGTAACTTTGCTTCAGGCAATTTGTCAGCTTGGAAGTCTGAGTTTTGCAAAAGTAGTCCACTGTCACTTATGTTGAGCTGATAAGAACAACGATACATCTCTCACCAATTCTTTGGTCACGACTTATTCCAGGTGTGGGAAATTAAATATGGCAGCTAGTCTATTTGAGCATGCAGTTGAACGGTGTCTGACATCATGGAACACGATGATCCTGCATATGGTATGCACGGCAAATCCTTTAACCTTTTCCGTTATCATCGTCAACTAATTTCTGAAACATTATTCACAGAGATCAATAACCTGAATTTACGAATAGATAATCCGAATGTTAAGTACAAGTTTATCTCGCAAAAGTTCATCGGAATGAAGTTACCTTGATGCTGTCCTGGAGTTGAGGAGAAACATCTTTCTCAAAACTCTCCGAAACTTTGAAATACATCACGAGACTCATCCATATTTACTCTACGGAAAGTTGCGAAGTTTAAAGTCGTTAAGAAAGTCGAAGAGAATTTTTGAATTACATCGTGGTTCTCATTCATTTGTTCAACAACTGTTTACATGGCAGCTAGGCAGTCAGCACAAATATTACTTTTAGTTTTTTTCCAGGTTCTAAGCTTTGCCGTTTGGTTCTTTACGATCAGATTTCGACCTACATATGTAGTTTACATCCTAAACTTGTTTGTCACAGAGCACACTACGGGTGAGTTAATTGTATGTTTTTTAATTGAAGTGACATACATAACAGGGAATTACATGTGAACAATTATGCATAAAAAGCCTATGGTTGCTTGACTAATAATCCTTAAATGTTGTAATTATTATTATGTTTTCATTTTGTGTCCCTTTTTTCTGTTTTTTTATTTTTTTTTTATTTTTATTTTTTTTGCTTCAATGTGGTTACAATTGTGTCGTCTGCAGTAAAAGAAATGACGAAATCAAGTGCGATAAGATATGTTAAATGCCATAGCAATATAGGAGATCACAAATTAATTCCACTGGTGGGTTTGTATCTCTTGGAATTACAAAAGTTGTGTCTTATTACGTAAGTGTGCAATTACTTTGTGAAACATTTCAAAAGTATAATTTATACTTGTTATCTTTTCTCTATCAGTTTGTCTATATCGTATGAAAATACAAAAATTAATTTTATCACTATTTGAATATGAGAAATTATAATCATATAAAATTAATGCATGTAGAACATGTACGAAGTGTTTTTATAAGAAACATGTTTTTATGCATGTTCAAGTGTGAAAAGAAAAAATCACCTAGTATTGTGGTCTAGTGATATTTTTCTTCATTTATAAGTTAGATGTCTTATGTTCGATTTTCACGAAAAACGAATTTGAATCACATTATTACTAGCCCATTGTGAGGCTTAGCCCACTTCCTCACTCCTTTAGTATAGATAATATCGTTTGTTCAAACACAAACAAAAAAAAGTGAATAGAAACAAAACTCTATATGCTAGCACACCGTCGTATAAAAAAGCTTTTCACATGTGTAGTAACCAATAGCCCAGGTACTTGCTTGGGGTTGGACTTACTCCAAAGTTGGATAAAAACTTGTGTGAGACTTGGTTTGCCACTAGATTTTGCTAAGTGGTACTACAATCCAATCAAAATTTGCCACATGGTAAGTCTTAAGTATAATATTTTATCATCTTTTATTATTTAAAGTCTCATAATTATTTTTCCTACTAATAAGATTGATTTAATGGTTCAACTTTTAAATCTTCTACTCTCTCTCTCTCTCTCTCTCTCTTTTTCTTTCCAAAATTTCCCTAGTGTCAAAAAATTTCAGAATTAGGGGTATACAAAACCATGTTTTACATGGATGAATGGAGAGTAACTCTGGGCCGAAGCTGGCGTTAGTCCCTTTAAAAGGGGACCGGAACCGCTCCACGTATCTCATTTAGAACGAGCCTTAACCGACGCAACTGCTACTGATATGGACACCAAAAATTGTTGCAGACATTACAGTGCTAATTAAGCTCCACTTCCCTCCCTCACGTTTATCTTCCACACAATAGATTTTACATATGAGCATCCCAAGTCCCAACCAAAGGACTGAACGTCACTCTGTGTCATTCCGCCTTCATAAGGATAATGGGGAAATTTTTTTTAAGCCATTAAATATTTTCTTCCCAAATTTTCTGAGCAAAGGATCTCTAGAAAATCGTATCAACAAATTTATTTGAGTATATATGCAAGTGGCGTGCTGGGCAATGAAATATTGCTCAAAAATGAAAAAAAATGAACAAACAATTTTTGTAAAAAAGTGAAATATGTGTTGGATTTTTTTTTTACATTTTATGATAATTGGAGAAGGTGGGTTAATTGTTTTTTTCCCCTATTCTTATGAAGAAAGAGATGACAGAGAACGTGAACGAAGACGGTAGAGAAAATTTAGAAGAAAACGAGAGAGAGGAGAAGAGTAAAGAAATGAATTATAGATTAATTTCATGATTATTAATCAGTATGGAAAATCATTATGACAGCATTATAAAATATTAAAATATTATAACTAACACTTGTCATGTAACGAGTTTTGATTAGGTCGTAACATCACTCAACAAAATCCAATAATAAGCGAAGTTCTATAAAAAAAAAAAAAAAAAAAGAGAGGATAAATTAGGTTCTTATCCTTCTTTTTGCTAGTCCATTGATTAAAACCTTATTCATTTTCAATTTTTGATCAAGGTTCTTAAGTTTTAATAAACGTTATTAATTATATCAATAATAAAATATTTTTTTATTTCTAAATTTATTCATATAGTGTTAGAAATATTACTTTTGGTATACTTATATTTATGGCTAAATTTTTTGTCATGTTGTAAGCATAATTTACTGAACAATTATGGAGGCCATAGAGAGAGGGGTGAGGCAATAGTAGAGAGAAAGAGAGATATGTGTAATTGTGAGGTGTGTTCTATTCCATCCCATTATGTCTTTATTTATAGTAGTAGGGAATGTTAATTCATTACCCTTTAAAATTACAATAATCAACTCCTAATAGGAATTTAAGAGATATTCCTAGATCAACTAGATTTACACAATCACATTCTTAATCTAATAGGAATGCAACATGTCATATATTTTTATTTTTAGTTTGTACCAAATTTTTTATTTGCAACCCTTTTTTAATTTGTACCAATTTTCTTTTCAGTTTTAATTTGTACCCATATATTTTTTTTTGTGCCCATATTTTTTTTAAAGTAGTTTATGTATTTGTACCCATTTTTAATTTTGCTAAATGTACCCATGCTAATTATATGTATTTATTTTATGTTTTAAAATCCATCCGTAGTTATTTTTTAAAATATGTTCATATTATGTGGGCACATTATTTTCTTGCTATAATTTTGTGAAGATCAATATTACTCTAATATTTATATTTAAGTATTTATCATATTTTAAAAATATTATTTGAATTTGTTTAAATTTCGTAATTTGTGGGACACTAAATGCATGAATTAAATCTCTTAAATGATACTAAAGACCTCGATCAAAATATTTGAACAAACAAGAATTTAGTCTAACAATTAAGTTGATTAGGGACTAGAATCAAAATGATCCTAAAAAAAAAAAAATTCTACCAAAGTCGATTTGACATTTGGGCGTGACAATTGAAACTCCAAATCTTGATCAATGCAATTTTGGTAATGCTGACATGGCCCCACAGCTCCTGAGGACTTCTATATATTGTGGGGATTTGGAAATTAGGAGGTTGAGCCTTCTGAGCAAATTATATAGGTTATTAGATTTTGATTTAACGGTTATAATTATTATAATTTTTAGAGAGATTCTCTATTTCGTAGCTGTTTGATCAAAATCCAACAGTTCGTGTGATTTGCTCAGGAAGCTCAACCTCCTAAGTTCAAGAGAGAGAATCCAAATCCGTTTAAGGGGGTATTGTTATAAGTTAAAGAAGACGTGTCACGAAAAACATTTCTTTATTTTTTTTGTAGATTCCCAAGATGTGTAAAATGGAATCCGTAAACATTCACAATGGTAAGGACCAAACATTCACAATGGTACACTTTTGGTACACTTTTGATAAAGGAACAAACATTCACAATGGTACACTTTTGGTACACTTTTGATAAAGGCCCAAACATTCACAATGGTCCACTTTTGGTACACTTTTGATAAAAGGACCAAACATTCACATTGGTACACTTTTTATAAAGGACCAAAAAGTGATAATTGCAAGACAAAAACAGTGATCATGTCTCACTCATGAAAGACCCAAACAGTAGTCATCACAGCTATTACTTTTAGTCTAAAGAAGGGGGAGAAATTGCACCTATTTAAGTACTATATGACGAGCCTTTTCTTCGTCCTTCATCCAACATTTCCACTGATCTTTCCCCAAACCCGTCTCCCCAAAATTTCTAAAGAACTCAAATTAGACAATCGTTATTTGCATTAACATTAGAAGTTATGGATGTCGAAACATCGGCTAATTCTC